AACAAGTGTAATATCCACTAAAGCAAAGCTTAAGTATATAACACCAACATATATATGATCTTAAACTAGCTTAACTCTATAACTCTTGCTTAATGTATTACTGAAGGATAAGCTAAATTTTTACCCAACTTCTCAGATATATAGCAAGGTAAACGATGGTGAAAATGGAAGGAAAAATCATGGCCAATGGCCATGCGCCACTTGCCGCATGCCTAAGGCCTAAGGTGGCCTCCTTGCTTAGTCATGGTACACATGGCTCTCAAAGACTTAGCTTAGTCATCCTATAGTGTTGGGAAAATGCCACATAACCTAAGTAACAATGATGATACTCACGTGAAAATTGCTCCAAGTTTCTCTCGGCAATTTGGACTAAGCGTGCACTTGAAGTGCTAAACCAACTTTAAGCATGATTGCACAAGTCAAAGGCCATTAGCATACAATAAGGACGATTTGTACCCTAATGACGTGCGGAACTTGGCTTAGCATGTGATTAATGGCCGCTTAGGTCACTCGATAGAGCAATTAGCACATGATCAATGAACTTAAGATCGATAACTTATGATTAAGCATGGATTAACTTATAACATATGAGATTAATCACTTAAAAATTATCTTGAGCATAAACATGACTTCGAAAATTAATTCGAATGTTCTTGCCTTGAATAATTAGTCCCGAATGATAACGCTTGATAAAATAAATATTTCGGAACTAAACACATAATTTACATTAATAACATAATGGGCTATTACAATCAAAATTCGATAAGGGGCTTTGGAAACTGGACCGGCTCCTGGAATAAGATCAATAGAGAACTCTACCTTCTGGTTTGGTGGTCTTCTTGGAAGTTGGTCAGGAAACACATCCACAAACTCACGAACAATAGGTACGTCGTGAGGTGTCCGTGCTTTCGGTTCATCACTGACAAGGCTAACAAGATAACCCTGACAATCGCCCCGACGTAACATCTTTTTGGCTTTCACCATAGAAATAGCATGAGGTAAAGAACGAGTCTTGGTGCCAAAGAAAGAATTGCAAGAGCTTAAGACTCAAATTCAGGAGTTATTGAAACTCGGTTTTATCCGACCGAGTGTTTCACCATGGGGAGCACCCGTTTTTTCGTAAAAAAGAAGGACGTTTCTATGCGCATGTGTATCGATTATCGGGATCTCAACTGGTTAACTATCAAGAATAAATATCCGCTTCCCAGAATCGATGACTTGTTTGACCAGCTGAGGGGAGCTTGTGTATTTTCCAAGATTGACTTACGATCAGGCTACCATCAGCTGAAGATCAAAGAGTCAGACATTGCAAAGACTGCTTTTCGTACCCGGTATTGTCATTATGAGTTCGTGGTCATGCCATTTGGCCTCAGTAACGCTCCAGCAGTATTTATGGACCTGATGAACCGTATCTTCCATCCTTCTCTCGATCAGTTTGTTATTGTTTTCATTGATGATATTCTAATCTATTCCAAGAGCCAAAAGGAACACGAGGAGCATCTGAGGGCTGTTCTTGAAACCCTTAGACGTGAAAAGTTATATGCTAAATTCTCCAAATGCGAATTCTGGCTCCAGCGAGTAGCCTTTCTTGGCCATGCTATCACTCAGGCAGGTATGGAGGTTGATCCATCCAAGGTTGCAGCTGTTCAGAACTGGTCGACACCGAAGAATCCATCCGAGGTTAGCAGTTTTCTTGGCTTGGCTGGCTATTATTGCAGGTTTATCGAGGGATTTTTCAAGATTGCCCTTCCTTTATCCCAGCTTATGAGGAAATCTGTGAAATGCGAGTGGACTGATCGATGTGAATCGAGCTTTCAGGAGCCCAAGAAGAGGCTTACCACAACACCGGTGTTGACTATTCGCGATCCTTCTCGGAGCTTCACCATTTCCAGTGATGCTTCAAGACAAAGTTTTGGATGTGTACTCATGCAAGATGGCCAGGTCGTTGCTTACGCTTCACGTCAATTAAAGCCTCATGAACAGAATTATCCTACGCACGACTTGTAGCTAGCCATAGTTATTCATGCCCTCAAGATTTGGCGACATTATTTATACGGTGGTCGATGCGAGATTTTCACAGATCACAAGAGCTTACAGTACATTTTCACTCAAAAGGAGCTCAATATGCGACAACGTCATTGGTTAGAGCTTGTCAAGGACTATGATTGCACAATTCAATACCACCTGGGGAAAGCGAATGTCGTTGCTGATGCCCTAAGCCGTAAGGTGAAGGGTGACTTGACTTATATTGTCACACAGTAGAACCAGCTTATCCAGGAGTTCGCCCGGATACAGATTCAGGTTGTTGATGCACTTCCTACAGCGATCACGGGGAGTGTTAGTTCTATGCATGTCCAACCAACATTGAGGGAAAGGATCCGGCGGGAGCAGGTTTCTATGAATTTGTTCGTGCTATTGATGCCAAAGTCCGCGCCAGAGGTGTTGAGGGTTTTCACCAAGGCACTGATGGAGCCTTTGAGTTTTGAGGCAGGATGGTTGTACCAAAAATCGAGGCTTTCCGGAAAGAGATACTGACCGAAGCTCATACCGCACCTTATTTAGCCCATCTAGGGAGCACAAAGATGTATCACGACTTGAAAAGGTCGTTTTGGTGGAGAGGGATGAAGAAGGACGTTGCCGACTTTGTGAGGAAATGTTTAACCTATCAGCAAGTCAAAGCAGAACACAAGAGTCCCTTGGGCCTCCTGCAACCACTCGAGAATCCGAAGTGGAAGCGGGAGGAAGTTACGATGGATTTTGTCACAGGGTTATCGAGGTCGTCTGAACATCACGATGCTATTTGGGTTGTGGTGGACAGATTGACTAAGGTTGCTCATTTCTTACCAATATCGATGAATATGTCTTTGGACAAGTTGGCTGAGATTTACACCCGTGGAATCATTCAACTCCACGGAGTGCCCGTTACTATTGTGTCGGACAGAGATCCCAGATTCACCACCAGATTCTGGGAGAGTTTGTACAAGGCGATGGGCACACGACTAGAGTTCAGTTCAGCCTACCATCTAGAGACTGACGGACAGACCGAGCGGACCATTCAGACATTGGAGGACATTCTACGAGCTTTGGTTGTTGACATGGGTGCTAAGTGGGAGTCGTTATTGTCATTGGTTGAGTTTGCTTACAACAACAGTTATCATGCTTCTATTCAGATGGCTCCTTACGAGGCACTTTACGGTCGTAAATATCGTTCCCCTCTGTATTGGGATGATGTCGGTGAGCGTCGAGTACTTAGTCCGAAGATGATCGAGGAAACAACTGAACAAGTCGAGTTGATCAAGCAAAGGTTAAAGACAGCTCAGAGTCGGCAGAACTCATCAGCCGATCAGCATCGATGAGATATCTAGTTTGAGGTTGGGGAGCGAGCCTTTCTTAGAGTTCGTCCATTCCGAGAGATCGTTCGATTTGGGGAGATAGGGAAGTTACATCCTCAATTCATTGGCCCGTTCGAAGTTCTTGAGCGAGTGGGCAAAGTTGCTTATCGATTAGCCTTACCTCCTGAGTTGTCCAATGTTCATAATGTTTTCCATGTAACCATGTTACGCAAGTACGTGTGCGATCCAGATCATGTTCTTCAGCATACCGATATTCATATTCAGCCAGATTTATCTTACGAGGAGAGTCCGGTAGCTGTACTGGACCGACATGTTCGTCGGCTCCAGAAACGTGATGTTCCTCTTGTTCGTATTCAGTGGGATCGCCACGGAGCCACTTGGGAGCAGGAGGCTGATATTCGTGCTCGTTTTCCCGATTTCAAATTTTGATGTATATATTTCTTATGTTCTATGTTTATGTATTTTGTTTTGTATTTCCGAGGACGGAAATATTTTAAAAAAGGCAGATTGTAATAGCCCATTATGTTATAAATGTAAATTATGTGTTTAGTTTCGAAATATTTATTTTATCAAGCGTTATCATTCGGGATTAATTATTCAAGGCAAGAACGTTCGAATTAATTTTCGAAATCATGTTTATGCTCGAGATAAGTTTTTAAGTAATTAATCTCATATGCTATAAGTTAATCCATGCTTAATCATAAGTTATCGAGCTTAAGTTCATTGATCATGTGCTAATTGCTCTATCAAGTGACATAAGCGGCCATTGATCACATGTTAAGCCAAGTTCTACACGTCATTAGGGTACAAATTGTCCTTATTGCACGCTAATGGCCTTTGACTTGTGCAATCATGCTTAAAGTTGGTTTAGCACTTCTAGTGCACGCTTAGTCCAAATTGCAGAGAGAGACTTGGAGCAATTTTCACGTGAGTATCATCATTGTTACTTAGGTTATGTGGCATTTTCCCAACACTATAGGATGACTAAGCTAAGTCTTTGAGAGCCATGTGTACCATGACTAAGCAAGGAGGCCACCTTAGGCCTTAGGCATGCGTCAAGTGGCGCATGGCCATTGGCCATGATTTTTCCTTCCATTTCCACCATCGTTTACCTTACTATATATCCAAGAAGTTGGGTAAAAATTTATCTTATCCTTCAGTAATACATTAAGCAAGAGTTAGAGAGTTAAGCTAATTTAAGATCATATATAATCACGCACGCACGTACGGAGAAGAAGAACACACACGTACGCGCACGCAAGCTACCGAACGGACGAGCGTATCACGAGAATTTTGCACCATTGAACGTCTAATTTCAAGGGTAATCTCATGTCAACATTCTTTAAGTATTAACGCATTGGTTTTATCAAGATTATGTAATTCGGTCTAGAAATCATGCCATGTTATGCTCGGTTTAAACCATTTTGGCTATACCGAACCAAGTTTAATTCTATCCGTCAACTCTCGAACAATTCATGTTTTTCGGTCATTAAATGTTATTCCATGTTTAGTTATGTGATGATTGTCGAGATAAGTTATTGATTGGTCGAGGGATTGGCCAAAGCCGTAGGCGGCGCACGTAGCGCACGCCACAACCTTCATGTTTCATTGAGTTATGTTCGTGGTCATTCGACCTATTTAAGTGTGATTATTCATGATATGTTATGTTTGTCATTTTAAGTTAATGTTGTTGGAGGAAATCGCCGGACGGCCGGCAAGGGCCGGTCGTGGTCACGCTGCCCGCATACAGCGGCTACAGCGTACCGACATTCAGTCCAGAGCGGACAGGCATCGTGCGTGCACGCCAGTCGGGCGTCGCATATGGCCTCTGTCGCGCCAGTCGTCAGTCAGTTGGTACTCTGTGCACGCCAGCACGTTCCAGCGCTCGGTAGTGGTACAACCGCACATCAGGCGGCCTTGGGCAGTGCCCGACAGCACGCTCGAGCATCATGTGCCGTCAGGGTCACTCGGCAGCGCCTGATGGGCACCAGTCACGCCAGCCACGCACTCAACATTCACGCCAGTCGCCTGTCGCGGCGCTCGGTAGCGCCCAACAGCTCTAGTTGCGCAAGTGCCGGTTGATGAAGGATCGGGTGTTCGCGTCCTCGACTTGTCTCGATCACGGATTCGCCACGGCCTTGCTCTCGACGATAGGTGTGATCGACTCGGTTATTAGCCTAACTCTCTCACGATACTTGAGTTCACTTGGTTATTAGCCTCGTTTCACTCGCGAAATAGATCGGGTCTTAGCCTCTCTAAATCGTTGAATTGGCTTGGGTCTTAGCCTCACCAATTCGATTTGTATGATCGAATCTCACGACTCTCAACACACGGTTTGAACAAACGTTCTTTTCTATTCCATTCCAAGACTCCTAATTATGAAGAGTACATGGGGTATTTATAGGTGCAAAGTAAATCTAATTCTAATCTAACTAGATCTCCTAATTCATGCAATAAAATAAATCCTAATGCTAGTAAATCTCCTAATATCTTATACTACTAATAAATAAAAGCAACATGGAAAGTAAATATACTAGAGTCCTTATTAACTTGATCTTCAAATCTCTTCCTTTGCTTGCACTCCAAGTCGGCCGCCTCTTGCCCTAGCCGCCTCAAACCCGCGCGCCGCCTCACGCCTCGCCCTAGTCCTCGAGGCTTAAGGTCTCGCGCCCCGCATGCGCCATTCCTATTCCTTGTAGGATTGTGCTTCGAGCACATATCCACTATTCCTATTCCT